GAAACGTTGTACATTTGCTGGTATGTTAAACTTATATTAAAGTTTTTCTTCATTACCCATTCAAGCCGCCTCCAGCCATTAATAAGTATATAGATTGTTTAAGTATATATAGCGTATCAAACAAATAAATATAAATCTAAACAAGTAAAATATAGAATCTACAAGTACAGATAAAGCTCTTTTTAAGTATTTCAACACGTTAAAACAAACAATATCCATACAGTTTGGTATATATATATATATGTGTGTGTATGGAAATTTTACACTTTATTAGATATACATTTAAATTTAAGAACGGCTACAACTTCGATATTGAGTCACGGATTGTGAGTGTTCTGTGTCTCTCAGCAAAGGTTCTTCTTCGGTGTTTTCAGTATGAGAGTTAGCATCATTTCTGGTACGAGCACGAGTACCATCAAGCATATCACCAGGTGGTGCAGTTGGTTGGAATGGTCCAATTATAGCATTTTCATATCCCCGTTCTTGCAGTCCGAGATGTCGATTTAGCCTCCAGGTGGCGTAGGGTGCAGGAGGAAAGGGTAACCTTCCTTTTTCCATGTAGAGCTGGAAACATATGCCAAATACTGCCAGAAATCCCCACGTGATGGACAAAATTACATCTAGGAATGAATAAAGGAGAATAAGTAATATCTACTAAATCAATGTTATTTTGATAAATGTAAAGGACTATAACAGAACGTCACTATCTTTTTGTTCTTCCCTACCCTTTAAAATCAAATGTTTGTTTCAGATATTCAATCAAAGCTAAACAAGGGTTATCTACGCTACCTGTCCCTAATTTTGAACTGATAGGCTAAATAAAAGGAAGGCAGCTAATTAACAGCACCCACTAGTAGAATTTGGCGGTCACTTTATAAAGCACCTATGACTCCAAAGTGCAGATAGGGATTTTGATGCAAATGGACGCAAACATTCCGACACTCTCAGTCCACTATCCTTAAAAATTCATTTGTCTGCACTAGCCGTCCCTAATTTAGAAGTGTAAGACTAGAGGGAAGACAGCTAGTCATCACCACCCACCGCCAACTCTTGGGCTACTCTTTTACCGTCACATTATAACGCCCCCACGGCTGAAAGGGTGAGCATGTTTGATATGACATGGATTCGAACCCGCAGATTGCGAGTCGAGTGCCTTAACCACCTGGCCATGCCGGGTCAAACATATACCAAATATAAATTCATCATTTTTATTTATGTTGGAAAAATTATTTGCCTCTGATTATAATTTGTATTGAATCTTTTCTATAAAATGTATGGGGCCATTTAAAGTATTTTAGTTAAAGAAAAAAATCACAACATCTTGTTTTAATTTCCTCAAAACTCGGAGCTTGTATATCATTGTCCTTGTTGTTATTTTCGTTAAATATTCAACTTTCAATGTATTCGATAAACTGATACATTTCTCACCAGTTATTAATAAGCATTTAAAATCAACATAAGAACGTCACTTATAAATGAATCGTGTACAAACCGTTCGTTTGAAATAGGTAACTGTTGAAAGCATATGACAAATCGTCCCTAACTGCACGCTTGACAACATTCAAGATGATGTACGACAATGTCGTCCCAATGTATCGATCAATGACGACTATGAAAGCATATCCTCCCATTATAGACGATCCGACGATACTAAGCTGCAGAAAAAAAATATTTAAAAATTAACTCCAATGATACTTTTTTAAAAGTGTTATGCGAATATATTGAATCTACATAATCTATTAACAAAAGATATGTTTTATAATTATTTGAATTTTTATATGGCTACAAAGTTTGTTTGTTTGTAATTAAGCACAAAGCTACACATTGGGCTATGTATGCTACGCCCACCACGGATATCGAAACCCCATTTCTAGCGATGTAAGTCGTCTGCAGACACACCGCTGTGCCACTGGGGAGGGGGGGGGCGATTACGAAGTCAAAAGGGGTGATTGTTTATGTTTGTTTTGTTAGAACTTAAACACATAGCTGCCCATCACGGGTATCTAAACCCGGTTTCTAGTATTGTAAGTCCACATACAAACCACTTCGCCACTGGCGGAAGGGGGAAAAGGTGATTCACACTGATTTTATATTGGGGGAAAAACAGAAGAAATGAATTTTGGTGATTCAAAGCTGACCCCAAGTTGTGTTTATTAGACTCTTCTCCAGTCTAAATTCTACTCCTCTTCAACTACATTATCAGTAGTAAAACTGTTTGCTTAAATAATAAAATTATTTATTGTTAGTATTTTATTTTGAATATGTCTTTCCTAAGGGATAACGGTCAATTGTCATTAACAGATTCGAGAAACACTGTTCTTGCTGCACGGTAAATATAACGGATTCGCCATCAGATGGTTAATCACTCGTGAAAAAAGTAAGCCCTTATAAAACATGGAAATGTTTTCAACATTTTTCATTGCTTAATTTCTTATGTTAAAAACTGGTTTCAAGATGTACCGAATCTGTTTTTGTACACAGAATATCTTAAAGAGCGTCACTAATTTATTCTTAATATTTTGAATAATTTTGTATAATACGTCTAGCGTCCATAAATCAATCTGCTCTGTAAAACCAATATTATCAAATATTGACACTTATATTTATCATTTGTCAGATTTTGTACTAAAATGCCTTCACGAAAAGACAAGTAATGTTTACGTGTGATTACAGTATAGACAAGTACTGTTTACGTGTGATTACAGTATAGATAAGTAATGTTTACGTGTGATTACAGTATAGGCAAGTAATGTTTACGTGTGATTACAGTATAGACAAGTAATGTTTACGTGTGATTACAGTTTGAGACTCTAATCCTTTGTTCGAGTTTCATGACAATGTTTTCAAACATCAACGCTAGGTCACAAGAAAAATGTGTTTGGTAGTATTTGTGGATTTTGAGTAGTTATATAGTTTGTCCATTTCCAATTTTACTTATTTCTATAAGTAAAACTGGAAATGGACAAACAAAGGTGCAAATGGGTAACAACGGTCCAGATCATCGTGACACTTGGGGAAAAGTCTTGAAGAACTAATCTACAAGGGTAGCACAGGTGGAAAGAACAAAATTTCGAAAGACTTTAATCTTTCGTCTTCAGGTCAGCTTGCATCGGTTTTATGTGGGGGATTATATGCTATCCGTGAGAATTGAGATGGATGTGACGTGTTTGGTCGGTGGATCTTATAATATGGATGGTGGAACGGGTGATGATTTGAACAATTGTATTCACAAGCCCATGTGTTTGTAATTGTCCCAGTCTATTTTATGTCCAGTCAACATGGCATATTCTGCCAGGGCAAAATTCTGTGTTTATTCTTTTATTTTTGCTCCAAAGGATCCAGTTTCTTCGACTTAGGTCTGTTTACAGGAATATGACGTTTTTATGTTTGTCGTTTGTTTAGTTTTAATAAGGCTAGATCTGAGTGTTCTGTAAGATTTCCAGCGGATATTAATGTTCAGCGCTGTTGTTCAAGCACTTAAAAATAAGGCATTTAACATAAGGTGGATGGTAACACTGGAAATGTAATTATCTATCAGTACGAGATTGTTTCCTGTATATGGTCATAATGAGTTTGTCACTCTGTCTGCTGATGAAAATATCAAAGGCTGTTGTTATTCTATGTTTCTGGATTTTGTTATCTGTGGAGGTAAAGTGTTGTAGAAAGGCTAGTTAGGTTTTCATGAGTATGGGGCTAGGTAACAAATATGTCGTCAACGTATCGTCTGTAAATTGGGTTTCGTATTGGTAGAGAATATGATTCTTTGCTCAAAACCTTCCATGAAAATATCTGTTAAAACTGGAGAGAATGGTGATCCAATGGCAAGGCGGCCGTATGTTTGTTCAAACAATTCATTGTTTTATTCAAAGTTTGCGGATTTGTAGACAAACTGTGGTTCGTTTCGCAATAGCTTCTATCTTTAAGTCAGTTCCCTATGTAGAATTATCATTCAACATCCTGTTTGGTGATGCGGAAGGTTTCTGAACTAGGCCATTAACGAACAGGTCTGTGACATCAAAACTGACGAGGACATCCTGGGATCTGATATGTATGTTTCTGAGTTGTTCAGTGAAATATCTTGAGTTGGTGATCGTATAGGTACCAAAAAATGTAACTAAGAGATGTCAAGATGAGCCCACAGCACTGACAATCGGTCTGAGAGGTATGTCGGGTTTGTTAATCTTGGGCAATCCGCAATACTATTGAGGGCAGTTGCCGCTGGTTCTTCAGATCTTGGTAGTGTTTTCGTTGTTTAAGTCTCCGTTTTTGAGTTTGTTTAACATTTTATTGGCAAGTCTTTCTGTCTTTCCTGCGGGTTAATTTGGAGCTTTTTATACTGGTGGTCTTCTGGTAATTATCTGATCTTGGTGTCGTAATCATCCACCTCAATTCTCCCGAATTGCATATAAACCTCTGCAAAAACCGGTGCAAGCTGACCTAACGAAGAAAGACTCAAAGACTTACAAAAAGGTGTCCTTACCAGCTGTACAACTTTTGTAGATTAGTCCTCCCAGACTTTCTCTACAGGTGTCATTCTGAACTAGTTAGTTGCTAAACATTTTACCCTTGTTTGTTCAAAAAATCATCCATAATAGAATTGAAGGTGTTATTAAATATTCAGAAAGATAATAATGGTTTTAATTACATCATTTTAAAAATGTTTAACCGTTTGACCACTCTTAAAACTTTACAGTTTATTGTTTCCAGGAAACGTGTTGAAAAAAGTTTACTTTATAAAGAAAACAAAAACTCTCAATAAGTTAAGAAGAATATAGTGACTCTCTTCGGTAGAGTACTCCGTAAATAAAGATCTGGTGTTTTTATATACAGTTCTTTGAATAAGAATCTTATTTTAATTTAAAGTTGTTTAACAGACTATCATTTGTCATTTATAAGTTAAAGTGTGTAGGTTGTCCACTCTTATATAAAAAAAGAATACCCCAAAAACCGAGAGGACGCTACAAATCGGGTTACAATACGTGGGCACAACAGAGATAGCCCATCGTGTAGCTTTGTACTTAAAAATAAACAAACAATTAACTGGTGTTGAAGAAAATTTGACAGAAAAGCTTTACACCATAATTATATATTTTCTGTTCTCAACAATAAGTGTATTGCACTTACGAATACCCCTGACATTCTAACGTTTACAAACAACTGATAACCCGCAGTGGGAAGAGCACAGATAGCCCTTTGTGTAACTTTGTGCTTATTGCAATCAATTAACCAACCAACCAACAACTGATAATACAGATAAATGTAAACAGATAAAACATTATCATAGATTTAAAGACCGTAAAGAGCTAGCTGGAATACCAAACTACTTTTCTTTATCACAGGCACAAAGCTGCACGATGAAATATCTATGTTGTGCCCACTGAGGTCCGTTCTAAACCATTAGGCTTACAGATAAGCCACTGCAGAGAAGATACTCATCTTTGTATTGAAAATCCAATAGAAATGAATAAAAGTTCAACTTGCTTTCGTAAATTTTCCTTTTTCCGTAATGCAACATATCCAACAAATCATTCAATTTACATTATACCTCTGAGACAGCCTATCTCAAAGTTTATGGAAGTGACTTGATTAGACGATTTTATTCTATGAACATAGTTACCAGTTTAGGGAATAGTAGAAAGATTATCGGGATGACCAAGATTCCACATGAAAATATAAGCCAGTAGCTAAAATCGTCTCTGAAAACCTGCATGTTTCCTGAAACATAAGTACAGTGAAAGGCTTACGAATGTAAAGTAGTATCTTTACATCATTTTTCAATACACTAAAATAAAACTGATACAATCTTTTTTTTCAAAATATATATTACAAAGTATTATTCTTTATATATGCAGGTGGTTAAAAACAACGAAAAGTAATATTTCCAATGCTTTACATTTTGAGGTTAAATGCGCAGTTAATTATAATTTTTATTATAAAGAATAGCCTTTAACTCTTACGAAAAATAAAATATTGGACTCAAATTAACTGAAACATCTTAAAGAAAATTAAAGTATGAGATCTTACCCACTGGTGTAAAAAACACCACAGATGTTAACAGAAATCCAAGAACAAGCCCGACTAATAACATAGAAATCACTGGTACACCAAACATCCACCAGATGGCAACCCACAAAAGTCCACCCGAAATACCTAAAATAACTGTAAGAATGTTGCGACCTTGAAAAAAAAATACAGTGATGTTATTTTCAATTCTTTTTCATAATACGTTTTTATAGGACGTAATTGTATATATTTACATAACTTATATAGATATAGATTAATTTCACATGTAAATATTCTCTTAGTTTTATTTTCAAAAACAATTATTTGAATTAGTTATATTTCAAACATATGAACGTAGATTGAGGGTTGTATACTTCTCAATTTGGGAATTCGATTAGCATTAAAATATTTTATAACTGTGAATATTATTTGTCTTCTTATTTTTATAAAACATTGTTATAACTCGTCGTAAATAAGGACTTTATTATTATTTAAAGAGCGGCAACCATGCTTAGTAAAGCTATTGATTTATCTTTTAACTTAGCTTGAGTTACAATTATATACAAAATAAATAGTCCTTGATCTGGAACACAAATATTAAAGAAGATTCTGTTACTTTATCGATCAAGCTAATCCGTAATGTTAATATTCTTTCACAATTAAAGAACAGAACACAGTCCTGGGTTTGGTATAAGTTTGCATAACTTTCAATCAAAACAACGAGGAAAAAAATATAATCACTAATACTATTTGTGGCTTTATATTTACGTTCACACAGACATTGCAGTGTTTAGATTCAGTTTGTAATGTTAAGTAGACAAGACAGATGGTGTTTATAACATAAGTTTAACGGTTTGCGTAGAACACGAAGTGAAAGATCACACCAAAATGTATGTATGTAAAATTCATCGACAAGAAAGCACCATCTGTAAAGTTCTTTCATAAGTCTACATTGTTATATTTAATATATAATGTTATAGCAATACATATATATTAGAATGTCATTTGAAAAGATTTACTTTAGGTATAAATAGTAGCTTTAACCAAAATTAAAATTACATAAGAAATCAAAATTAATTTACGAATGTGATGTAATAAACATTAAAATTCAAAGTAAATATCAAGTAAGAAAATATGTAAAACATGTTATTTAAAACTGCGAAAACATATATACAACCTTCTTCCGACTTACCACAGGCTCATCAGCTAACAAAATACTCATATATATTCAAAAGCTTTCCAAACCAATATATATATGTTTCTTGTAACATGGTAAACCTGGTAAAATGTGTAATATTTTTCGTTTCACGTTCTAATTTTCCATGTTCTATATAAGGTTGTAAACTTATAACTCAGATATCTCTAAGTAAGAAGGTTATGAAAACTGTTCCAGATATATTCTTCAGCCTCTTTATAATGTATTTATTTATTCAGTAGAAATCACTAGACCCTCTGCAATACCCAGTTGCCGATATCTTGAAAACACATGTCTACAGTAGACCTTCCAAGTTAACTTAACAGCTGACCTTTTTATTTTTGAATGTTATACCTGAAGACTATCTTGACAGCCAAGAAATGTGGCCATGAAGTCAACGAGCAAGTTAGGTAGCTTAGGTTCATTCTAAAAGAAACGTTGCCTCACCATATAGAAACTTCAAAAGAACTTGGCTCTTACTAATGAGATTAGTAAATTTTTAAATTCACTTTCCGTTTGAAAATACGATTTTATGAAAATAAAACTTTCAAAAATAGTTTGGTTTAATTAAGTATATAGCGCCAAATACATTTTATACTTTATGTCCAGTGCTAGAAAGAGTATGCAGTATGAGGTTCGGCCCGGCATGGCCAGTTGGTTAGGGGACTCGACTCGTAATCTGTGGGTCGCGGGTTCGAATCCCCGTCACAACAAATATGCCCGTCCTTTCAGCCGTGGGAGCGTTATAATGTGACGGTCAATCCCACTATTTGTTGGTAAGAGAGTAGCCCAAGAGTTGGCGATTAGCTGCCTTTCCTCTAGTCTTACACCGCTAAATTAGGGACGGCTAGCGCAGATAGCCCTTGTGTAGCTTTGCGCGAAATTCATAACAAACCGAACCAAACTAGTACGAGGTTCTCATAGAGAACATCAAAGAATTTATTACTGTTCATCAGAGAGCAATATATTCTGATTGATATATCAGTAAGTCAATAAGGAACACGAATCTGTTGTCACCGGAAATTTCTACCACAGTGTACTAAATCTGCTCAGTTGGGTCACCATTCATGTCAATGATAGTCTGAACTTTTGAGATGATGTCATGGACAGCTGAAGAAACAAATCTCAACATGGCAACATTTTGGTTATGAGGATACCTATGACCTTTGACAGTATCATTCCAAACATTTTTGGTATTTCATTACATTGGTACAGTTATAAAATGAGTATATTTACCAGTTTTGGTAATAAAGTAAAAACTTAAGCTAAACATTATTTTTTAAGTACCATTTGATTTTATGCACATTATAAATATAATAATGGTTTCTGGAACATGAAAGTGCTGACAGATAACGTTAGGTGTAATAAATAAGCGTATCGTCTTTCGTTTTGTTCTTTCTTACCTGTAATTCCAATTTCAGTGAATCTCGTCAGAAGAACAAAAGTTAGGAGCGCGAAAGTAAGAAAGCCAAAATACATCATTTCTGAAAAACAAACAATCAATCTATTAATGATTATATCGATACATTTCTGGTAAAATATAACGCATATCCAGAAATATATATATAAAAATTATTAGGTACTGTAGCATAAGATCAAGTCATTAAGCAGTGAAAATATATAATAACAAAAAGTATTAGTCAAAGAGTTTGTTTGTTTGTTTTTTGTTGTGCAAAAAGCTACACGAGGGCTATCTGTGCTCTGCCCACCACGGGTATCGAAACCCGGTTTCTAGCGTTGTAAGTCCGCAGACATACCGCTGTGCCACTGGGGGGCTAGTCAAAGAGACTACGATTTCATATTAAGCACACATATCCATTACTTTCTGTTGATAAATCAAGGCGATAGGTTTTATATTTGAAGTTAAGCACAAAGTTACAAAAAGGGTTAGCTATGCTTTGCTCACGACGGGTATCAAAGCCCGGTTTTTAGCGTTGTAAGTCTACAGACATTCCGTTGTGTCACTGAGGAGCTCAAGCTTAATAAGCAAAAGATACCAATGAAAGCATGAAAAAATATTTTTTTAGAATGGGTTTCGTCAAAACAATTTCGCAACTCTGAATTTCTTTGCGAATCTTTTCTGGGATTTATTAGAATTTGTTGCTCGGATTTCCGAAATTCTACTGGGACTTTCTGAAATTTGTTCTCGAATTTTAAAATTACTGCTGCCGTCGTTCCGTTATTATAAAGCTAAATAAGTAAAGGTCTAGAATTCATCTAAAGATTTCGTGTTAAGCATTTTGTCATAATTTCTTGCTGATTTCCTGTTCGAATTCAGCTTTCCTTTGCTATTATCGTTAGGAGAATACACAGCAAGAAGAAAATTTGGCTAGCCTTCACCACCACGGAACTTCTAGTAAACATTTTGCCACAATACCCTACTGTTTTCGTTCTATTATCTGTCCAGAATAAAATTTCTTGCTGTTGGTTTTTCATGGCTATAAACTCAACAGTCTTTGTAGAAGTTGTACTTTGAAATTTATTCATAAATATGCGTTAATATTTCATGCATCTTCCTAAAAAAATGTTGACTCCCTTACTACCTCAGCGGTAAGCTTGAGGGCTTATAACTTTAACAATTGGGATTCGATACCCCCGGTGGGTGTCAATATGACTAACGGCATGAAATCAACTAAAAAAAAAGGTTGACACTACTACAATTATATATCAAGATATAGTTTTGTTATACTATATAAAGCAATTTGTTTCTTTTGTTGTTGCTTTTTTTATCTCAACATTTGAATTTAACACCAGAAGAAAATCATCTAAAACTCGACCAGAAAATAACAGGAAACTTGTAAATTTCCTGCATAAATTTCAAGGTAAATGATGGGTTAGTCCCTCGTATAGTTTGTTTTATACCTGAGAAACCACTGCAAACACAGGAAGAAAATGACCAGGAAATTCTAGGTGAGAGAAGATACCCCAATTACTTCTCTTAGAGTTCCGAACGGTAACAACAAGAAAAATTTGAAATTAGGATAGAAAATAATAGGGTAACGACATGAAGTTCAGATAAAGGGTTGTTAAAAAATTTGATATGAAAAATGTTGACAAGTTAATCCTCTCCTATTGTCCTCAGTGGCACAGCGGTATGTCTACGGACTTAAGACGCTGGAAACCGGGTTTCGATACCCGTGGTGGGCAGAGCACAGACAGCCTATTGTATAGGCTTTGTGCTTAGTTATAAACAAATATTTCCTATTTATAAATGAAAAGGAACCAGCAGGATTTCTAAAACTCGAACACGAAATGGATGGAAATCAGTAGGAAATATTGCAAAGTTTCGTCAAAACAATTCGGAGGTGAGGATACCGTTTTGACAGATCCTTTACAATCCATCCTGTACTGTTAAAAATATTTTCAAAAACATGTAAACTTACACAGAAATACGACTGATACCGATACCCCATACTGTTATGTAATGATTGTACTAATACAGTAAGAAATACTAGTAGTAATTGTTCGTGAGCAAGAAAAAATATTCTATTGATGCATCGCTTTAGAAATATCAGAGATATTACCTGTTTTGAAGAAGCGATGCCCTCGGAAACATACAAATAATCCAACGATGGCCATTACGATAGCTAAAACCATGGCCAAATCTCCAGCTTGTGAATGAGAAAAATCATTTTATATACATAAAATATACACCATTTACAAGTCACCTTATTATCCCAAAAAAATATATAATAATTCAGAAAACCCTTTGACAAAATAACTAATTACAAATTATATATTTACCATAAAAATTACGATTAGATTGATAGAACACTGAATAACATGATACTAAATTACCAAGCATGTTAATTTAACATCGTCAAGTTGAAAACGCATTGGATAACATGGCATTAATTCCGAATAGTGTTTATTTAACCTTTTAACTACTTAAACTACATCAATGCATTAAAATATATCATGCGTCTGTTTAAATGTTTCTGTAATTTAGTTATAACTTTACAGAGTACCTTTTTATAACATTTCGAATAGAGATAATGATTATTTGAATACCGTTAGTTTACTTCACAGTATCTTTCACATTTACATTATAAAAGTAACCTAAAGTAATATTTTACTTTTCGCAGCGTCTTCCTGTAAAAAATTTTAGGTTATAATTATTTCATTATCTGGTAATTCTTAATTTTCAATGTGTTTAAAGTAAACACTTACAACAATGTTCTATAACACTGAAACCACTACGAATTAAACACAACAATGTTCTATAAAACTGAGACCACTGCGAATTAAACACTTACAACAATGTTCTATAACACTGAAACCACTGTGAATTAAACACTTACAACAATGTTCTATAAAACTGAAACCACTACGAATTAAACACAACAATGTTCTATAAAACTGAGACCACTGCGAATTAAACACTTACAACAATGTTCTATGACATTGAGACCACTGTGAATTAAACACTTACAACAATGTTCTATAACATTGAGACCACTGCAAATTAATACTATTTTGATATAGTTCAAAACGAAAGCTTTTTTCTTTCTTACTTGTATATGAGAGCTTCAACACCTTTCTCTTAAAACATATATTTCATGTATTATGAAATATTAAGGAGTGGTTTTATCTCGTAATTATAGTTTTCTTACTTAACTTTCTTATCATTTTGTTTTGTCTTCTCCTATGTGTATAACATATTTTTGTTGTTGTTTTGTTTTTGTTTATTCTAACTTTAATCGGAGCGTGAAAGAGTATCAAATAATGAATAAAAACAGTAAATGAACAAGAACCTATAACAAGTTCATGTTGAAATCTTGTATCATAAAAGAGTTAAACTTTTAGTTTCGCAAAAAAAAATTTACATAACTTCATTTCTGTAACAAACTACTGTCGTAACTTTGAAGAAATTCGTGAATCGTTTTCAAATAATGGTCTTAGATAATTTATAATATGTAGAAGAACTGTGAAAACAAATGTGTTTGAAGTTATTGTTTTCCCATGCTAAATACCAGAGAGTTATACTTTTATTTTTACATTAACCTTACTCGGTGCGTTCAATATTTTGGAACACACAGCATTACTCCGTTAAAGATTAGAACATAAACATTTTACACATCAGACAAAACATTCTTCTGAACGTTGGATTAAACTGAGAAAGTTTAGAGAAATCTGCTAGACTTGGTGACGTCAGAACACCTTATTCAACACCGCGTAATAAAATTAAAACTTACTTAGCTGACCACAACCGTCCACTTCAGAATGAAAACTACACCCATATGTTGATACAGGCACATATACAGCTTCGTAAAGTTCGTTATCCCTTATATAACTAACAAGCACATTGTAGATCACACCTTGGCCTGGGTAGGAGAGTAATGTTACTCGTGTTTTAGGACTTTGGTCGAAAGTCGTTACCTGTAGCAACAATAAAAATAATGAGTATATTAAATATTAACCATAAAGGTTAATAAACTGGAAAAAAGGAGACTAATAGCAAAAAAAAAAGGAAGATATATACTACTTCGTTACATTACACTTAGAAAAGTGGCCTGAATGTTGCTGCATTTCCAAAAATAGGTATACTATATTACCTTAAATAATTAGAGAATTTCATTGCTAGTCAGATGTTTATCTACTATACTATTGGTGGTTTTTATTATCGTGATCGGCTTGAGCTAGAGAAAAGACCAAAAGGAGACAAATAGTGTTTTGTTTTTTCTTACTTAGGAAAGATGTTAGCGATTGATATGGAGATGATGCTTTAATTACTGCACTGTAAGGTGTTTGGTTTGGTTACACGACGGCTATCTAATTTAGCAGTGAAAGACTAGAGGGAAGGCAGCTAGTCATCACCACCCACCGTCAACTCTTGGGCTACTATTTTACCAACGAATAGTGGGATTGACCGTCACATTATAACCTTCCCATGACTGAAAGGGCGAAAATATTTGGTGGGACGGGGATTTGAACCCGCGACCCTCAGATTGCAAGTCAAGCGCCCCAACCACCTGGCCATGCCAGACCTACTACTGTAAGAAGAGTCATTGCACTTCGCAATGCATGATAAAAAGGGCAGCTTGCAGACAAACAATAGCCAAACCTGCAATGTCTTTCATGAATGTACATAGCCAGTTTCAGTTGGAAATAGTAACCCTATGAAAGCACCTTTATTCACGTGTGTTGAATCATTGGACAACAGTAAACTGAATCACTGAATACAAAATATTCGAAACATAATTCTCATTATCATATCAAGTAACTCTTTCTGACTTGGAAAAGGTCTTTATTTTAGAGATACTAAAATGTCTTAATCTTAATTATCAGGAAAATACTATAGTTGTTTACTTTTATGCTGGTTGTATATTATATTTCTTGGGAGTTGATAAAAATAAAACATGTTTGTTTTTAAAAATACATTGGAATTTCTGTTCTCATATGCAATGTTAAGATCCTGGTCGTTGTGGAAAATACTGTGTCTTTAATTTTATTTTTATAAAATATAAACGTACGCGCCACCTATGATTACATCACTTATACTTGTCCTTAGAAAATCGTTTGGTAGGTTCGTTTTGTTTGTTGTTAAACACAAAGCTATACGATGAACTATTTGTGACCTGCCAACAACGGGTATCTAAACACAATTTTCAACGTTATAAGCCTACAGGCTTGCCGCTGAGCGACAGGGAGATTTTTTTTATAAGAGATTGGAACCATTCCATATTCGACTGATCTCAGGAGTTTAAATACTCAATTAAATTTGCTATTTTCAAGTCGTTATCATAGATGTAAACAGCTCAAAATAACTTGGCAATAAAGTTAGAAAAAAAAACTGATAATCTACAGATAATAATAATAATAAAACCTTTCATTTCAGCCGACATTTCGCCATTGCGGCTTCATGAGAGTTAGTAGTTTGTCTGTTATTAAGCGCAAAGTTACACAATGAGCTATCTTTGCTGTGCCCACCACGGGTATCGAAGCCTAGTTTCTAGCATTACAAGCCTGCAGACTTACTGCTGAGCCACTGGTGAAGTCGCACGGGCGAAACGTTGGCTGAAATAAAAAGTTCTTATTATTACCTGTAGAGTAAAGGTCGTTTTTGTTTGTTTTTTTCTAACTTTGTTGCCAAAATGTCTAAATCCCTCCAGTAAGCACTACAAACTCCGAAAAAGCTCAAAACGATCACATGTACTTGTTATCTTTAACAACTTTTCTCTTACTGGTATCTTTAAATAACACAAAGCACGAAACAAGTGCCTATTTTTGAAATATGTTTGGTGTTGTTCAGATGTTTGAAATATTTCCGTATGAATAACTTTACAAAACGCACAGAACATATAAGCTTAAGTGACTTAAGCCTATTTAAAAGTCATTAATGCGTTGTGTATAATGTATCCATATAGAAACCCTTCCTGAGTTTTATAATAGATATTTTCTCACTTGTTTAACTAGCTAATAACTGTACTAACTTTAACTCCATGTTTCTTGACGCTAGCTACTGATATCATGGTCTGGATTCCATTCAGGTAGGACATTTCACTGAAGTCATTTTCCGGGAGAAAATGTACATACAAATTATAAGACAGCAGAAACATACTGCGATCACACGATAACAAAGGCTGTTCACGAGTGTAAGTAACCCGTGCATGTTGAAATTCAATTTTTGTATCGACTGACGATGAGTAAATTCGGAGAAATGGGGAGATTTCTGCTGGAAATTCCATGTTACAACCGCCAGGAATGGGAGCTGTCAGTAATAAACAAAAATATTTATAACTTCAGTTCTATACAAACAAAAACAGAAACAGAAAAAGAAGTCTTTCAATTCGTGAAAAAAAAAGTATAATGAAATTAATACTTTGTATTTTTTTTATTCCCTCTTTCTTAAAAGGCTAAAAAATCATTGTAAACATTTAGAATAATCAAATAAAAAGCCACTGTTAGGAGAAGTTTAACAATCTAAAAAAATGAATAATATATCGAATGAAAAAAGAGCACCAAAAATGTGCTAAGGATTTAGAGAAAGAGTACTTTGCGAGTTATACATTTCTCATCCCTTTCTGTTCATCAGATCTTTAGTTCATGTGGTGTATGTTTATATTATTTTATTTCTGTCAGATCTTTAGTTTCTGTGGTGTATGTTTATATTATTTTCTTTCCGTCAGGTCTTTAGTTCATGTGGGGTATGTTTATATTATTTTATTTCTGTCAGATCTTTAGTTTCTGTGGTGTATGTTTATATTATTTTCTTTCCGTCAGGTCTTTAGTTCATGTGGGGTATGTTTATATTAT